CGTGATACCGAACAAAGTGGGTGGGTGTGCACTCAAGTGTAACGGCTGGTTCATTTGCCGATGCCTTCACGGTTCATTGTGTGTGTATATATGGAGATGTTGGGTTTTGTAAATACATGCTCATTTTTGTGTATAACATTTTGCAATCAACAGACATCATAACATGTCATGTGTACAGGTATCACACCTGCCTGTCTGTGTAATTACATAATGTGACAGAGACCGAACTCGGGCCATAAATCAATGCGTTTTGGTTATGGTGTATATCCTGATTGGTGTTAAAGTTCAAATTGCATGTGGTGAGTGATCGAAGTTGTGTATTGAATATTGTCATCAGCAGACAGGCAGGCAGACACATAGGAGTAGTTATATAATGATGGTTCTGGACCAATAAAACAGACAGTGAGTTTTGTCTGTGACAACGACATATCTATATCACGGTTAGAAATTCTGTCAACGCTAAATAATGACATTGCTTTTTTAAGTATCGAACTGAGAAAGTGACTCCGGTAAGAAGAACGTGTGGTGGAACAGACAAATGAAATTATATAAACAGTTAAATCTGTAATCTACTGTCACTTAACAATAAAGAGCTCGCGCCTATGAAATATCAACAAAACATTAGAAAAATAGCTCACATCAAAGCCTTCACCGAGTATTCACCGCCAGCGAAGGTTTTCCGTCTTGAAATGTCGAACGCCTCACTGGTTGACACATAGCTGAGTAGATCTAGAACCTAACAAGGTTATTTTATGTAACGAGTAGATTATTTACTATTTGTTTTGATTAGACTACTCCTGCTCACGACCTTATAATCCGTACATCCCGCTTCCAAGCTGCGCGAACCTATTTCACTGCGCACGTGCTATGAGCGCAGCCTAGCGCAGCGCAGCTGTTGAAACCACTTTTCACCCCGAGCGCTGGGGTGAATTTAGTGAATCGTTTGAACGGGGTTTTTTTCATCGCGTTATTTTTCAACTTAAGCTGAATTTGCATTTTGATGATTTGTATCTGTAAGTCCATACCGAAAGGTATCAGAATCAGCAGAGTTGTGTTTTACGTTGCATGTGAACTTTAAGAAAGTTTGTAAAACATTCAGTTGTATATATTTCAAACAAAAATGAAGATTTTACAACCTTTCAGAAATTGTTACCAGTAGCTTGACCCTTCATTAATGACGCCGAGTATAGCTCTGGTGGGCTACCACTATTAAATGGCCACTATTCCGGTCTTACGCACGCACGCACGCTCACGCACAGGCACAGGAACAGGTTCACATAGGTAGATGTACGTCACTATGTAAGTGCTAAGCCACCTTAACCTAGCCACCATGCAGTCCAAAGACAATCCCTGCATGCAATCTGATAAGAAATGAAACCCCTTTTATGCCCAAAAAGTTGAGGTATATTGTAACTGTAGATCAGATAACTGTTTTCGTAATTCGGAACGGAACCAGGTATCGATATGGAATGGAATTAGATACTTTACTTTCACCAGTCAGAATCAAGCATTGTTCAGTGTCTTGTTATAATAGTCCAGTAAAGTACGTTTTTAACGATCACGCTTGTAACGATATGACGAACATTTTTTGTCTCGGTGACTTTGTGTATATTTAAGTCGACATGCATATAACGAACTACGATTATCCAGAAGTTAGTGGTCTTTTTGAGTCCGTTAACACCTTAATTGTACTGTGATCGTGTACCTGTTACACTAAACTCTAGCCTTCTTATAGACGAACCTAAAGGGACAAATGGTCAGGTGTCCAGTAATTCTTGTCGTTATAGGGACGGTGGGGTAGCCTAGTGGTTAAAGCGTTCTCTCGTCACGCCGAAGACCTGGGTTCGATTTCCACATGGGTACCAATGTGTGAAGCCCATTTCTGGTGTCCCTCGCCGTCATATTACTGGTGTTGTGCTTAAAGCAGCGTAAAACCATATTTACTCACCGCATTGCGTTGATACGAATTCGTGGATTATTTGACATGCTAACCGATAAATAATGATGACACATATCCGTAACCTTGACACCCAAGTCCATTCGAGACCTGGTCAGTATTATCACGCTATTCACTAGATAGTAACAGAATTAGTGCACGACCTACTGTATATAACACCTATAAGGGTTATTGGGCATCAGGGATGTAGGTGGCTCAACAGCGCAAGATGTTCAACAAAGGACTCGGTGTATGGACTTCTGTATTTATGCCTTTGTGTCAGTAAGTGTCTTGTTTCTTTGTGGGTTATAAAACAATGATTTATAATCAAATACAAGGAGCACGTGAAGTGTTTTGCTTCTGTCTGACTGTTTATGTAGGTTTGACGACTGATGTTTGTAATCAGAAACATCCTGTCTCGTCACAAACTTACTTTCTTATTAGACATAATAATAATTAATAATAATAATTCATTTCTATAGCGCCTAGTATCCATCTGACTAGTTGCTCACTGACCCGCTGTAATAAGAATCTGATTATTATTACCCCGGATAACAAGCTGCCTGTTAGGCGCTAGAAGGAATTATAGTCACATGACTTTATCCCACCGGGTACCCAATTTCTGCTGGGTGAACAGAGGCAATTTTAGGAACAAACTCGCTTGCCTAATAGTAGGCTACATGTATCACATGTGCTTCGTTGTGGGGCAGGACTGAAGTCTTAGAAACTCTCAGGCGTCAAACTGCCAAACACGGTCACCCATCCAAGGACTCTCCGAGCTCGACGTTGCTTTACTTCAACTGATTCGTGACCTGGGCTCTACGAACAGGACCACACACCATCACTTAGGATGGTTGCAGTAATGCGAAGCCAATTTCTGGTGTCCCCTGCAGTGATGTTGCTGGGATATTGATAAAACTAAACTCACACTCACTTAGAAATAATACTGAATTGGGGTATATACCTAAATCACGCATTATATTATTTTACTCTCAATGAATTGGTTGTATATTTGACGATTTGATGGAGAGTCGAGGCGATAAGGTGTTTTATGTCGAAATAGAAGAGCATCAGTAAATATTACTTGCAACTGATTTCACAAGAGACTACCTCGAATATATTTTTGCAAAGCTCCAACCCCTTTGAGGATGAACGGTTTAACAGTAACAACACAATGTTTGACGTCACGGAGCTTCTATCTTACCGGGGACTGACGTCACGACGTAACATACTACTTCAAAATGACATCATGTAAAGCCATGAACAGGATTTGTTTGGTTTGTGTATATCCCAGCTATATGGCGGCGGCCTGTAAATAATCGCCTATGGACCAGACAATCCAGTGATCAACAGCATGAACATCGATCTACGCAAATGAGATACAATGACATGTGTCAACCAAGTCAGCGAGCCTGGCCACCCGATCCGTTAGTCGCATCCTCGCCTCGACGTTGAATCTTGTAATCGCTGCACTTCCGCTCTATCATACTTAGTTCTAAATATATCTGGTGCGGAAGAATTAAGGAACTTCAAAGAAAATCATACAAAGATGCTTGTTCGTTTTCTGTTAAAAATGTTACTACGTAGCTCGTATTGCAGACAATATCATTACTCTACTGGCCTATTTTGGTTGGAAATAAAATAAATGCATATATTTTTAGCAATTCAGCTTCACCTTCAGGGGTAAATTGATTCTCACTCGTTAAAGTCCACCATTCGTAACGACTCGCCTCTTTCCGTGATCTACAAGAAGACTCGTACCTGTATAGTACGTCATTATTGCCAAGAATCGTGACAAACCAATCAAATCGCGCGTAGTAAAACGTATATCGAAGCATGAAATTGGCGGAACCGTTGAACTATGCAAAGCACAATTTAAACATACACTTTGAGAAAAAAGGATCAGCAACTTTCAACACTGAAACATATTTAGAAGGAATGACTGTATAGCTGTTTTGCTCACGGGATATGGGACATTCCAGGAGTAGCCATGTTTGGAAATTCAGAGTTACCTTTCCTTGGAGATAATACTAGACTATTTTCACCTCCGTGCCCGTATGCGCTTAGGCAAAGGCCCAGTCGTGAACATGACCACGAGATGGGTACGAGTCGCCATCCGGCTTTGACGGAATGACACGAGTAGTTACGAATGATCGTCCACATGGTGCGAGTTACCTCCCACGAACTACATCAGGCGCTGATTTCTCGAAACAAACTTAAGTCTGAGTTTTGACTTAACTAATAATATGGTCCTAGCATTCCCAGAAGAGGAGATGCAATCCCGGATGTTAGGTCATACAATGTCCCGGATATAGGAGTCATATCATGTCCCGGATGTAGGTCATACTATGTCCCGGATGTAAGTCCTACCATCCCCCTATGAAGTCACGACCCATGTGACATGTTATGACCTCTATGTATTATCAGCTTAATATCGGTAGGTATATACCACTCTTCATGTCAAGCCCATATCTACCATTGACTCTTTATATCACACAGGATAGGGTCAAGGACTTCGGTCCTGTCCACACTGAATTGTTTGCTTGTTGTTTAACGAATAACTCAGCAATATGTCAGCTATATATCGGCGGTCTGTAAATAATCGAGTTTGGACAAGACAATCCACTGTTAAAAATAATGAGCATCGTTCTACAATTGGGATACAGTCGGCTAAGCTTGGCCACCCGATCCCGTTAGTCGCCTCTTACGACAAGCATGGGTTACTGAAGACCAATTGTTCCCCGGATCTTCACGGGCACACAGGTACAGAAGTAAATAGAGGTGAATCAGTATACGGAAAGAGGAAATGCACGGATAGACGTCTAGCGCCTTACAGGCTCGTGGGCTGTATGGTGCCTAGGGAGCTGAGAATGAATGAGTGTGTACTGAACCATTGGCTGGGATAATGATGAGATTCATCACGGTCTAAGCGCATCTATCAATTAAAGATTAGACCATGCGTTAGACAAATTCATTCAATATTGATGATATATGACAGAAACGTCCACAGTGGAATGACGGGATGTGCCAATGTCAATGGGAAAGTCCGGGTTCGATTCCAAACATGGGTATACCTATACTAGAGTTTCCCCAGAATCCAAAATGGGCAGGGCGACAGAATTTCCCGAAAGGTGCGCCCCCAACCCCCTTTCAAAAGGGCATGGAATGACAATTTTATAAGTATTATGCTAAATTATTCACGCATATGATTATCAAAGGCTCAAAGGGACAGTTATTTTGACATAGCATGAGCATGAAATAGAAAATCAGCATCCATGCTTGGTACAAGAGTGAGAGAGTGGAGAGAGTGAGAGAGAAGAGAGGAGAGGGAGAGAAGAGTGAGAGTGAGGGAGAGAGAAGACAAGAGAAAGAGAAAGGCAAATGAGAGAAAGCGAGAGGGGGAGAGAGTGAGAAAGATAGTGAGGGTGAGTGAGGGAGAGGGGAGAGACTGAGGGAGAGAGAGAAAGTGAGGGAGAGAACACACTGAAACATAGACTCACATGCCACTGTATTTCATTTCAGCAGTCACGCCATGCGCAGAAGGAAAGCAGGACTTTGCCGTCAACGTCAACACCGACGGCAGCTACAACGTCGTTGTCCAGGGAGAGGTCTGGCTGAAGAGCGCTCCCACCTTCTTCACATCTGACAGTAAAGTCTTCACCACGGCTGATGGATCTCTGAAGCTGGTCAAGAACACTCAGTCCAGTGGTGTGGACTTCATTGGTCAGTGGCAGTCCAGCAGCTTCTTGTACCAGGCAGGGACCAGTCAGATCGAGTCCAGTTTTGTACAGTACACCCCGGATAAAAGCATCTTCACCTACAACAATCCTGCCATACCTTTCATGCTGTTCAAACAGGTAAAATACGTAGCCTCATAGATTAAATGTAATTCTAACATTCGTCTTAGGCGCCGTTATTACCTGTGCAGAGTTATGTCCCTTGGACACGCCACAAAACTATGATAGTGGGTTCGGATCCCGGTTCGTCCCGACCCCGGTGTCATCAACGTGGTAAATATCCAAAATCTTCATTATTTCCATCTATCACGCCGCGATATAACTGAATAATGTGTTAAGTAAAACCAAATCACTCACTCCAAACTGTACAGGGTGGTTGACATATGCCATCGATTGGACCCGTCCCACTATCTTCACACACCAAGTAAACGAAAAGAAGAAAACCTTTTGTTTCGATTTTCTCACATAACGGACCACACTGCTGGATCGTTCGTATATGCACTTGGAAAACGTTAAGCTCCACTTCATCAGCTACATGGCTGTGAGTGAACATGGAGTATATATGGTTAAAGTGCATATAAAGGCCAATGTAAAATGAAAGCTTGCATTAAGATGGAAACGATAATTTCACCAGTTAATACAAACTGGTTTTCCGTATTATCTCTCACTTGCTCGCCGCAAATAGTTGGAAAATTGCTGATGCGGCGTAAAAGCAATATTGATTCATTCATTCATCCCACTTGCTCAGTGGGTCTCGTATATAAGGACAGGTTGTAAAATAGACTGTACCACATGCACATTTGATTGGTGTTTGTATTAATGTCTAACATATGTTATAGTAAAGTAAAAAGTGGTACGAGTACAGATTGGGTTAGGCGGCTGACTTGGTGTGCTAGCGATTAGGTGCCTCACCCTGAGGGTGTGGGTTCGAATTCCGCCTTGGACTCAACCCAAAAAGTACTAGAATCTGTACTTTACTAAGAAAGGTGTAATCCCAAATATGACATATGTTACATTTGACCACTTTCTAAATGGCATTGTGTATTCATGTATTAATGTAACCCTGAGTTGCTGTCAAAGTCACCGAATTGTATATGTGCTCGAGTAAATAATTCCTATATCACCACCACACCACCACCACCACCACCACCATCACCATCATCATCATCATCTGCACTAATGTTTTCATCAACATCTTCAACAACAGCGTTACATCAACGGAGCTAACAACACTGCCACCAACGGTAACTACACCATTTCTGGTTTTCCTGGATTCCAAATACAAGAGACCAAATCTTCCTTTTGGGCTACCTTTGTTATAGCGGCCTAATGTTTGGACATGATTATCTACGGTCTGGGCAGTAAGCACTTATTCTTGTTTGTTTTATTATCTCTCTTTCGAATTTTCAGTCTTTACTTAAAAATTATTGGGAATCATATTATTATATCATATAACATAATACAAATCGCAAATTTGAAAGCGTGATAATTTTCGACATCGTATCATAACTTTTCCATTGTAACCTTTTAAGTGAACTCTCAATGTTGAGATACAGAGACGACGTCATCAGTCATGACGTGATCAGATTATATATGTGGTAACCAAACCAATCTGGGCAAATCTGATATCTAATTAATGCCGAATAGCTTCAAAAAATGGTACTTATAAAATTCCGTACGTGGTGAAAAGTGCGAACGATTGACGGCATTCCATCCCGTTTCAGACAATCAGCTTGCAGCAATCATTTTACAATTACAGATGGGGGCCGTCATCATTTACGATCATCGATGGACTAAAGAGGCGGTCCCCTGGCACTATTTGATCGCGAGAAGACTGCAAATACCCTGATTATCTCCCCTGCCAGTCAGTTTATGTCGTCATCAATATGGCGTCAGAACGCAAGTACGGGCGGAGACAACGTCTACTGGGGGACAATGGGTGGAGTGGAGAATGTTCCTGCAGATGTAGAAAACAGTTTTATTCTTTTCTGTGGCAACCAAGGCATTAACAAGGTACATACACTTCAGAGTGCTCTTCTGGACGGATGCTTTTCTTCGTTTTGTCCACTGGAATGTGTCGTAGCCTTGGTTTCTGATCACAGGCATGCAGTCAAAAACGCTTTTGCAGTTTAGAAACAACAAATTTATTTCACCTCCCATTTATTTTATCTCCCAAATTTCAGTCAGTGTCATGTCTAGAATTAGAAAATAAAGCTACTTTGTTTTCAATTTTGCGGTCCTTTATCGTTGATTTAAGACCGCTAAATAAAATTTTAAAAACCGGACGCGCACGGTTTTGATGAGCTCTCAGCCAATCAGAATCGAGTATCACACAATGTCGTGCTACTGGTTCAGGTTCGTACCTTAATTCCGTCCAAACGAAAACCGCTATTTTCCATTTCAAGAAAATGCATAAGTATGTATATTTGTCATTGATCACTGATTTGTGATCTTGGTATGTAGTAACTAGACATATGCTGAATATTTATGAACCTTTAAGAAAGTGTTCCGTTTCCCATCACTCGGTGTATGACAATCTACTTTCAGGCCTTCGTGAGCTGGGGTCAGATTTTACAAACATGGCACGGCCGCACGGATCAGTATGTCAAATCTGACTTTACAATCAACTACTTGGGGTACTGGACCGACGATGGTGAGAATATATCAATTTTACATTACAATCATTATTCACACAGTCACATGTAATGATTTCCTATTGAGTTTTCCGTTTATCGAGGTTCGAATCCCATGGTCCAATGCTCGATTGTGATCCTTCGTCCATTGGAATTATTGCTGTTCTTATGTGTCTCTATACACTATACTTATGTGCGAAGTAACTTGTTTGATACCCGACTCAAAGTATTCTTAGCAGTCTTGTTTTATGCCCTACTGCCGATCGCCATGCAAGGAAACAACAAGTACCATCTTGTAACGTCTTTCCGTATAACACAGATGACGACAGAACTAGTCTGTCTCACAGTCCCTGAACCATATTACTTTCCCTACAGCCTAGCCCTCTCTGCAATGCTACAGCCTAAAATGAAGCAAGTTGTTACAATCAAACTTATATATGTTCAGAGACTAAGGGGGCGGTGGGGTAGCCTAGTGGTTAAAGCGTTGGCTCGTCACGCCGAAGACCCGGGTTCGAATCCCCACATGGGTACAATGTGTGAAGCCCATTTCTGGTGTCCCCCGCCGTGATGTTGCTGGAATATTGCTAAAAGCGGCGTAAAACCAAACTCAGTCAGTCAGTCAGTCAGACACTAAGCGTTAATCTGGGATAGAACCACCTTCTGCCCTCCCGACAAACGCTCTATTTATCAGACCACGGAGGTTGTCTTAAATGAAACGAAACTGAAGCTTTTGCATTGTAACTTATCAGACACATTAGAAATATAGAAAAAACACAAAACAATTCCAGAACACGCTTGATTGTTCTCATGGGTGATTCTATGTCATCTGGTGGTGTGGGTATTGCTCGTGCTATCAACCTCTTGTTTGTACCACCAGGTTTATACATCACAGATTAAAGTGATTTGAAACAACACTGACGAATTTTAATTTTGAATTTTATTTTCATGCACAAGGAATGCATGTCAAACAGATATGTTACGAAAAGCACGCATTGTTTGTGCAGGTGCGTATTACTGGGACGTTCCGGAGAAGGGGAAGAACTACCAGGATACGATACTGGACATCAACAACTACATTAAACAGCTCGGGGTACCCGTCAGGTTTGTACATGCAGGTTAATCATAAAAATTTTGTCAACTCGTGATATTAAATACAAATTCGCAGCACGCACTGCTCTATAGTACTACGGACATTAAGGAACAATACTCGATCCTGTCTTTACATTATAGTCATGGAAAGACTCAGGTTTTCTGTATTATGTTTTGTTGCCAGGTACACCAAGCACAACTCGGGCGAAATCCGTGTTGTTTTTTTGCATCCTGACTGACTGGGACAGAAACCATGTTGCTCTGTTGCCAGGTACATCATGACTGACTAGGACAGAAACCATGTTGTTTTGTTGCCAGGTACATCCAGTAAGACAAGGACAGAATCCATGTTGTTTTGTTGCCAGGTACATCCTGTAAAGCTAGGACAGAAACCATGTTGTTTTGTTGCCAGGTACATCCTGACTGACAGGGACAGAATCCATGTTGTTTTGTTTCCAGGTACATCATGACTGACTAGGACAGAAACCATGTTGTTTTGTTGCCAGGTACATCCTGACTGACTAGGACAGAAACCATGTTGTTTTGTTGCCAGGTACATCCAGTAAGACAAGGACAGAATCCATGTTGTTTTGTTGCCAGGTACATCCTGTAAAGCTAGGACAGAAACCATGTTGTTTTGTTGCCAGGTACATCCTGACTGACAGGGACAGAATCCATGTTGTTTTGTTGCCAGGTACATCCTGTCTGACTGGGACAGAAACCGTGTTGCTTTGTTGCTGGTGGGGTACATCCTGTCTGACTGGGACAGAAACCATGTTGTTTTGTTGCCAGGTACATCCTGACTGACTGGGACAGAAACCATGTTGTTTTGTTGCCAGGTACATCATGACTGACTAGGACAGAAACCATGTTGTTTTGTTGCCAGGTACATCCTGACTGACTAGGACAGAAAAACCATGTTGTTTTGTTGCCAGGTACATCCTGACTGACAGGGACAGAAACCATGTTGTTTTGTTGCCAGGTACATCATGACTGACCAGGACAGAAACCGTGTTGTTTTGTTGCCAGGTACTAACAATACGTCTTGGACAGAAACCATGTTGTTTTGTTGCCAGGTACATCATGACTGACTAGGACAGAAACCATGTTGTTTTGTTGCCAGGTACATCCTGACTGACTAGGACAGAAACCATGTTGTTTTGTTGCCAGGTACATCCTGACTGACAGGGACAGAAACCATGTTTGTTTTGTTGCCAGGTACATCATGACTGCCCAGGACAGAAACCGTGTTGTTTTGTTGCCAGGTACTATCAATACGTCTTGGACAGAAACCATGTTTTATTGTTGATAAGAACATTCAGCTCAACTGAATAGAACTCATGACGTTGTGTTGCCTGGTATGACTGAGACAAAAACCATGTTGTTTTGTTGCCAGGTACATTCAGTACGACTGGTGGTGGTACTATTACGACAACGACCACGGCATCACGACATGGGCAGCTAAACCAAACATCTTTCCTGATGGATTGCAGTGAGATATATTTATTCAAAGATGATTCTGATTTCAGATAATTTCAAATATCTCTAAATACATTAAACTATGATACATATATGCATGAATTCTATAATCATTCTCGAATGAGGTGAGATATCTATTCTTAATTTTAAATGTTCGCAGGCTTCGAGAATTTTTAAATATCTAATATTATTAAAAATACATTAAGTCATTATTAAGAGTATTATTATTTTCTGACCGTTATACATGATCAGTCAATTAAGCGCTCTTGTTAGTATATACATACAGGTTGATGTCAGAACTGTTATATATATATATCTATGTTTACTAATATATACAAAAACATTCCCATCCACATGAAAACCCTGCCAACAGCAGAGTCGACATTGTACAATTTCGACTGTATCATGATCATTTATTTAGTGTTGATACCATGTGTTCGCGAAGCGGTGGTATGCCCTCCGGTGGCACCTGCCATAAACACAATACAAAGGCTAATTCAATCCCCGCATATCTATGATCAAACTTTTTGAAAGCTTTAATGAAGCCTTGAATCAATTTAACCCCTTTCAATCTGTGTCCCAAGGTGGCTGTATAACAAGACGGAGCTTCCTGTTCTTGCCCACAGCATGTTCTGGTGAGTCGGGATTATGTAATAGCATAACGTTTATAATAACCATCAGAATATGTACGTCATCCTCATTTACTGGTGTTTGTCGTGATTTTTGGTCCGGTTGTTTCGACTCATAATGTCCAAATAGACATTCACATATACTGACGGAGGAAAGAGAGTATACAGCCATGTTTGATGGTGGCTACATAATGTTATGGTGGTGTGTTTCATACTGGCATCATAGATGTGTCAAAGAATCATGCATCGGACAATTTGCCATTTTCAGGGTAGTACCACTTTAATAACGTCAGTAATTTTGGGGTCCATTTATATTTTCAAGACTATAGTTTCAGATTCATTTGACTCATTTAATGATAAATATGAAATGCTAATTTGCAAATTCATGACCGTTTTCCAGACCGTCTTTGAAAGTCATTTAGAAGCTGGAAGAACCATAATGTATGACACTGTTTATAGATAACAAGTTCTTGGTTTATTTGATGGACATTTCAGAGGTA